GGGATTTGTGAAAATCATCTCAGTTCGGTGGTGTTTGAACGGTGAACAGAGCTCTGAGTTCTGGCTCAGCAACCACCAAAGTTGGAAAAGTAAGATGGAGTCAGTGGCGTGAGTTTCCAGATACCCATTCTTACTTCGTCTTAGGGTTCTTGACTTCAAGCTGCATTTGGAATTTGCAGAAGACCAAAGCTGAAGTCCAAGTGGAGGCAATCAAGGTTACACAGAACAAAGAGCACGGACCTGTCAGCTTTCTTCGCTGTCACAAAGTGACGAAGAGAATCAGTTTACAGAGCAAAGGTTTACTTTGGCTCATGAGTTTAGGTGTCATTTCCACCCACTCGCCTGCCAGCTCCATTGCTTGGACCTTAGATGAGGCAAAACATCACAGATGAGGAGCATGGGGAAGAGAAGACTGTTCATGTCAAAACAGCTGGGAAACGGAGAGACAGACAGAGATGCATGACAGAGTCAGATACAACAGCCAATCAGAGAGGAAAGGGCTGGGGACGCTATACAGGCCCCACAGGTGTGCCCAAAGGCCCTGCTCCCATTAACCAGGTCATGCCTCTTACGAGAATATTTCCCAATCGCCATGTGCAGGGCACTGTCCTGGCATAGAACAGTAAAGGACCAGTGTGGGGTCCGTCTCGCACTGACAAACTACTGCGAGACTTGTACATAGTTAAAACGTAGCTTAAAATACTAAGAAGAGTTAGTGTTACGGGTGTTTAGAACAGGGAGAATTTCTGGCTAGATGTTCAAAGAAATAAGCGAGACTTTAGAAAAGGTGGCATTTGAATATGAAATTTCACTGGGCATTGGGAAGCCCCGTAGAGCTTTTAAGATGGGAAGTAAAAGATCCATTTCTGTGACAGTCAAGAGGAGGTTGCTGGGACAAGTCAACGCCTCCAGATAGAGAGACAGTAGGAGAACCGGGCGAAAACATACACTTGTCGGGGGAATGCATGTGGAGGACACTGCTGGAGCCAAGGTGCCTGGAGGAGCACAGTGTCTGGAGGACACACAGGAAAGAGAGGATGCAAACATGCCCAAAGCGCAGGGTGATGGGAGGGTGGCAGTGCCCAGAACAGTGACACGGACATAGGAGAAGGGGAGATAGTGAGGTATCTTGGAGACACTGGTCTGGAAAAGCTGAGAGCACACGCAGCTGTCAGGAAGTCGGGGGAAGCCCAGGAGAAGAGGCAGGTGACCATGAGGGTCGTGGAGAGGTCTCCCTACGCTCCATTTCCATGATTTAAGAAAAATCTCATAAATTAGGTGCCCTAAGAGTTACTAACATTAGGAATCTTCTCATAGAGAGAGATTTATTGCAATATGTGAATTCCACAAGGAAGTGGGTGTGACCCTGCTTTGGACTTGAGTTTTTAAAGTTCTAAAGTAGCGTCTTGGATCATTTCCACACAAAGACTCAGTCTTTGAGTCACAGGAATTTGAGGTGATGGCCTTGCTTCATCCATTTCTGTCATAGCTCCAAATGTTACTATCCTGGATGTTTTTCTATTTGAAATTTTATATTTGAGTATTCTAATTGCTGTGATTTTTAAAGATAATGCATTATTTAAAGACTTGGAAACCAGAAAAAATATATATATATTTAAAAAGCAAGAAAAAATATACATAGGTATTAGGTATTTTCTTGCTGGTGTTAGGTGTTAGATGCTAAGTGTTTTTCAAGCTACATGTATGACAGAGTGTATTTACATGATTATATAGGTGATGTATACATGTGCACATTTTCTTAAATTACAACTTATCATGTACATTCTTTGTCGCATTTAATGTTTTCCATTGGCAGTACATGCGAGAACTTTTCCGTTTCATTAATAATGGTTCAAAAATTGTATTTATATGTGCTTCAAAGTATTTTATTGTGTGCACCTCCCCTAGTAGTGAAGCACCCTCCTGTCACTGGAGAATTAAGCAAGGTGGCCCTGTGAGAGGAGGGGCAGTGTGTGTCTCCTACACCCGCTACTCCAAAATACATTTTCCCATCTTCGCCTTCTTTCTTACCACCAAGACCCCTAGGAGAGGCGCTTTAGGTGCAGTCGTGTCAGTGCTGAGTACCAAAGCACGTAAGTGGTCAGGATACTTCAAGCAATGGGACGAGCAGACTCACTTCTAAAGCAGCTATTTCTTCTATCTGCCCTTTAAGACCACTTTTAGAGGTCGTTGTTCTTCCTTTGCCACGCCCCACATACTCAGGCATGTCTAAATGCACGCATGCAAACATACACACTAAAATTAAGATCTATACTTGGGGAGAATTTATTCAAGTCCCTAAATTGTGCCCTTTTTCTTCATTCTCCATGATGTGCACTTCATCTAAGGCAAAAAGAGTGTCAAAGGGAATTCAGCTTGGGCGAGATTGCCTCCTGACTGTGATCCAGTAGTGAGAGCCCGGACCATGGCATGAGCCCCAGGAGGGAACGGAGCCCAGGCCCACGAATATGCATTAGTGGGGCCCGACAGAGCACCATTGTTTTGATATCTTTCTGTTTTCACAGGTGCCATAGTCAGTTTATGAGTCTTCACCATGACCCGTGCCACAGAAAGATAAATATAGCTATAGTTTTGCTGAATCCAGGTTGAAAGCTCCTTTTTCAAACAAAAACATTATTTCTAAGTCAGTCCAAGGCAAAGCCCAGCATCTTGAGTTCTGTGAGCGCCCTCATTTGTTGCCTTTTCAACTTGTCTCCTTCAATGTTACTGTCTCCATTTTAAATATCATCAGCTGATAAATCAAGTGGTGGAGATCTGCAAAAGTTGGTTTCAATATTAAAGATGACAAATTATAGCCATAAATATTTTCAGAGGAGAAGGCAGTGGATTCAGTTCTGCATTTGGAAATTGATACAGGCATGAATAAAGATGCTAAGGGCAGGTAAAGTATAACTTCAAAGTCAGTTTGATTTATTCCTTAATTGACTACTTTTAGATAACGGTGTAGGTCCAAGTTATAGGAAGAACTTTAGGAAGTTGGCATTCTTTCAAATACAGTCCTTTTACAAAGCAAATTCCTTAATGACTAGATTTAATCATTACTACAAATAGATCGCGAGATTCTAACAATAGGAGGCTTAGGCTTTCATCCAATTTCTTGTCTGTCAGAAGGTGGAAATGAATAGAATGTTTAACTCCCAAAACAGGAACATAAGTTTAATGTAATATTAATTTCATTTTTGTATTAGAGATCTATGGGATTTTAAGAGTGCCCAAAGGCAGTACTCAGTTTTATGAATGTTGTGAGATGAGAGTAAAACACACACCCACAAACACACAGAGATACACACGAACACACACACAATTGAAAGTTTCCTTGTACGATTAAGTACAAGATATTTAGTCTTACAAAAAAGTTAGTTATGTAAAGTAAACATACTGGTACCGCAGTGATTTTCCTCTCTGGGGATAAATATCTATCTTCACAATTTTGTTTTCTGCTCCGGGTCAAACAAATTCAGTTTCCCTCAAGTATGTCCTTACATCTCAGCAAATTCTTCAGCATCCGTGGAGGCCTCTTCTCTCCCCCTTTTCTTTCTGCTGACCTCTCAGGGTCTCCAGTCAGTGTCAGTTTTTTGCCTTTCTCATCCACACGATGCCCAGACTACACTTTCTACCCAAATGCTTAGGTTTGCTAACCATGTGGAAAAAGCACAGTATGTCATCCTGTGCCAGGCTGTACAGTCACGTTGAGCGTGTTTATTTATTTAGATATAAGCATAAACATATTTATACTGACTATATGGACTTTATTATATAGATCTACAACTAAATCCCCACCCAGTAAGCCCAAGGATACAGACAGAATATGTAAGTTCCTTCAGTATTCAGAGGGAGGGCTCCCCGGCATTTGTCAGCTTGTCTTTGTCAGAATAAGAATCGTCTGTGTGTGCCTCCCCCGCTGTGTGTCTGGACTGCGTGCTCTTCGTTCCCCACTACTGCACCACCCTCTCACCCCAAAACACGGGGCTCGGATCCTCCACACGCACGGGCCAGGCCTCGACAAGGAGCCAGGCCTACCGAGAGGGGGCCTTTGCTGAAGTCCATGGAAAAGGTTAATTGGAATCTTTAAGACCTCCAGGGCTTCCACATAATCTGTAATGTCACTCTGTTTTCTTCAGTCACGCAGCATATAATGTCATTTCTTGCTGCTCTTTTAGCCTCTACTCCTTCCCCACACCTCCAAGTTTCCAGGGTACTAGATAATTCCAACAGCAGACACAACAATCACAGCCACCACCATACGACAGTTAACAACATATAACATGTTTTAGACCAAAAAACCTTTTCATTTTTTACAACTTTATTTTCATAGATAATTTGCTTTTGTTGATAGTTGCCTACTATATTCGGTAGTTCCTCACTCCTTTTGTAAAATAGCCAAACGGCTACTTCCCAGGTAATAATAAAAATCTTCCCAGGTAATAATAAAAAAAATAATAAAAATCTTCCCAGGTAATAAAAAAAATAATAAAAATCAAGAGATGAAACCTATTTGCTAAGGCACACTGCATAGTACAGTCAGTTCTGAGTACAGACTCATGCTTAAATAGCTTTCTTTTTCATCAAAAGTGGGACAGTAACTGTAATTCCTTGGTGAGCATCTGGAAGTAACATTAATAACGATGATAATGATGCCCTCATAGGCCGTATAATTCGGGGATTAAAGAACACTTACGAGCTTATGGTGTCATAGTTAATGATGAGGTGACAACTTTTCTTGCCACCACCCCTGCCAATGGTATTTCCTGCTTGGATCAAGAATGAATTACCATAAATGGTGGCCTTTCAGAGAACTTGCCGCGTCTTAGAGCATATACAAGCGTAAAGATGTTGAACTGTTTTAGTGTTGTTTTTCAGAGATGATTTATTAATGTTGTTTTGCAATTGTATAAAAATTTTGTATAATGTAATCATTTAGTGTTTATTTTATTGTATGTACCTTCTACTCAGAGGGTTGGCATTATTGTTCCTAACAGTGACGGATACAAGCAGATCATGCCTTATGACCTCTACCATCCCCTTCCTCGGTACGTAAATCAATCATCCTGATGTTAGAATTAGCAAATCAGTCTTCTGATGACTTTACGTATATATATATACATATATATAGACATAGACATATGTAGAGAGAGATTTTGTGTTTTTCTATAAAAATAAGATGGTAGACGGTAGATTTGCAATCCATCCTGAGCTCTGCTTCTGAGTACTACTGGCCTGCTCAGACTACAAGCTTGTCATTCAAAAACCTTTTTAAAGTAGGGTCGTGTTACATGGCAGCGGACGCAGTAATTCACTCTGATTAGGTACAGTGTATGGGTTTATGTTATGTCTTTCATTCCTTTTGTCCTTCCATGTTTCTTCTGCAATAGGACCCTAGTCATTAAACCACTGTTGCTAACTATTAAACAAACACTACCTAAAGTATTATCACAACACCATAAATGTGGAGTTCCAGATGTGGTATTAGTCTGCCCAGGGCCTTTATATATCCTCTTTTTACTTCGAAGAAATTATAACTAAGAGAAAATTTTTTCATATCTTCATTATTCAAAAATTTAATATGATACATTGTTTTTAAAATACAATAATTTGAAAAAGATATTGAAATTTTAAAATCTCATAAGACTGCCTGGCAAAGCACAAGATCCTGAGTTTGATTCCCAGTACCAAAAATAAAGCCTCATTAGAATTTTTATTATTATAATGTATTCATATGAAAACTAGACATACTGAATGATATACTAACTACTGCCACTTTCTACATACCACATTCGAAACACTTCCACAGATAGCAGAAATTAGATTTGGGTTTCAATTCATCTTTTCTCTATTTTCTTTATTTATTTGGTCTTGGGGGGGGTAAGCTGCTATTTAGAACCGAAAATTTAAATTAGACTTTAAATAGTTGGAATAATCTACAGCAGTTTGCTCAATCTAAATTAAGCCTGAAAGATAGTTTTATTCAAAACTGCAAAATGAAGCAGTTCAAAAAGTTTGATCTCCAAGTCCCTAATGAATCAGTATCCAGATGGATCCATCAGGGTCACGGACTCCAGCTCCTCAGTGACGTTTCATTCTCCTGTTCCTTTCCCAACGAGCACACCCACACACTGCATAAATATGTACAGTGCGTATTACACAAATACAGACTAGTGTGCACTCGGTTTCTATGTGTTCACACATGGATGTACACATTCTTAAGATTTATGTAATGTGTATACATGAGTGCAAGCTGTCGTTCGGTGTCTACTTAAATGCTTAGCAGGAGTCTCACTTTTCATCATTCTCATCGTGACATATAGAAAGAGGGATTGGATTTACGCAAGATGCACTTGTTGGAAGTTCTTTTACTGAATGACAGTCTCATTCATCAGCTCCCTGTCACTTTCTTATGACTATTTTGATAAAGACAATAAATGGCTTTTGAATGCTCCTGACATATACTTTTGCTGATTTGACCCAGAACTCTTTTGCTCATTGATAATTTAATGAAAGTAACTGTATCTGTAAAATAAGTATTCCTAGGACACATGTATTTGGGCAGAGGCCATGCATTTCGAAATAAAGGCTAAGCTGGGTGCCGAGAATGATCAACGTTTGATTTCCTGAAGCTCCTAGAGTTGTCTCACAGCCTCTATGATTTCTCTTGTTTATATTTTTCTGGCATAACTAATGCCTGCCTGTCTTGTTAGACGTGATCTTTTAGAGACTGGAATTTCCCCCAAATGCCCAAAACCCCATGGTATATTGAAGTAACCCTCCTTCCTGTTTGTTTGTGCCACATCCTGTGTGTACAATTTGGCACGTCCTTGCATCACAATGGGAGAGGACAATTAATAAGTAAACCAACTATATTTCATACCCTTTGCTTTTATTACTGAGGTAATTCTGAAGGTAGAAATTCTGCTTTAATGACAAAGCCCCAAGTAATTAAAAATTCTAAAGATGGAAAAAGAGAAGTGATTTCTACAAATGCACTTTCATTTCATAAATATGACTAAGAATTTAAAAAGTGTCTCAAACGGAAACCACCCAATAGTCAAGGAAGAAAGCTTTACTTATTTAAAATATTGAAATAGTATTAAAACCACAAGGGTAGATATAACACACAATTAATGAATTTTTAGATGTTCTTCACTGTTTTCAGGCTTTGAACACATAATCTGAACGAAGAATATGGTCTGATGAATGATCTTGAGCCCTAATTTAATTAATATATGCCACTTTCCTACATCTTTTTAAATTTTGATAATTTCTTAAACTAAATGCATTGTGTGTTTAAAACATTGAAACCAAAAGGAGTTAAAATATATGGTCTATTCAATCAATGTTCTCCTAGGGCAGAAGTCCAGATTCATTCAATGTTCTCCTAGGGCAGAAGTCCAGATTCCAGAACAAGGTTCTTGGATATATCTTCTTTCATTCCAAGTACCTACCCTGGTCACTGTTTTAGGATCTCCTAACTGACACCATCTCTCAGCTTCTGTTATAAAGTAACCAAACATGTTTTTCTTTAAACTCTCACATAACACTTTTCCTATATGAGAATGCACATCACAATATTTCACATGCAAAATTTTAATTGTGTGCTGGAAATATACTATAAATTTTTAGAATAATATAGCCTCATTTGTCTTTTTGTGATGGCTGACATTGAAAGGGATACTTATTTCTGTTTGTGAAATTATACTATGGTCAGGTCCAAGTGTTGAGACAGAAATTAATCATTCTCCCTATAGGAGGGTCAAGTTCAGGGATTTTGGGGTACCAATTAGAAAATGTGTTCTTTTATGGCATCTTAATATTCTAAGAGATTAAATGTGCATTAAAATATAGTCCTACTTCATCATCACATCAAATCCATTGCGAATAGTACTTATATATTCAGGCTGGCTTCCATCTGACAGGCCTGTTATTTACTCCACGAGGAAGTCCTCCAGAGACTCACCTGGAGACAAGTGAGAGCTGGTCTTGCCCTTTTGGAAGAGAAACTGTCTGCAGAGCAACTTCATTCTCTCAAAACAGATCAAAAATCTCCTAAGGACTAAACAGAGAGCCTCAGTTTCCCCAAAGTGACATTTTTTATGTGTCTCCTGGGGAAAACACATCAGAAAACATTATATTTGGCAACATACCTTGGCTGTTGGCAGTGAAGATAAGAGTTGTTGCCTAAATTTAAACAGCTCAGACAGAGTGTAGAGGAAAACCCTCTTAACTGGGAAACACACATTACTCTGACTCATGCAGAGGAGAAATCAAGTTCACAACATCCATGAAATCCTGCTTGCAGAATAATTACTCTCCACGGGGTGCCTGCACAATAGCTTTGAATTTAACTATTCAAGTAGATCCACTTGGTGAAATTTCCTTTCTCTTTCATTAAAACTATCTCTCATAATTCTAAGAGAAACCTTGACGTTCCTTGGTCACCCTCATTCATGAGTAGAGTGTATGTAAGAATACAAACTCAGATCACTCAGTCCCAGTGCTTCTGTTTTTAGGACTTCCACGTTCTCTAAATCTACAGCAGGGAAAACAATTACACAAAGATAGCTCTCTGTACTTGATCCCAAATTCACCCAAACTGTACAGAGCTCTGAAGTATCAATGAAATTGTCTTAAATGTTCTTATAAATATTGATATTTTCTGCCTTGCTTATCTATGTCTCCAAATTCAAATGCCGTGAGCCTTTCAACCCAAACAAAGCTCACGATTCCAGAAGCACGTTGCTGGAGGAACTCTAAACCGCCACTCTCCCGGGCAGCAAGGCAAGCAGCGAACAACGCTTATGCTAACACCGTCCCGCTAGTGATGGCACGGTCCGCCCTTCCGAACTGTGCTGAGGCTGTGAAGTCTCAAAGCTGACAGTTGAGGAGCAAGGGAGAAAGCGTTTTTGTTCACACTGGTCTTTTGAGCTTCTCCTGTGCAAAATAGCCTGAAGTGAAGTAATAAAGCATTAAATTGGAAATAAAAGTATCGGCCCAGAGGCAAGCCATCAGTGTTAACTGATTATCCAACTTCAGCTTTGACAAGGATGCTTGATGAGATTTAATGAAAAGTAAATAAATGAGTGAATTCCGCTACATCTATAGGTAAGCCATGGAACCACGGGGAAAGGCGCTGGGTCTCAACTGCCGCTGTGCAGAGCACCGGCAGCACAGCTATCCCTGTGGCCGGCTCCCAGAACCGCAGCTCCTTCCACCTGCGTAGAGCTTCCCAGGTGACGGCGCGCTTTTGCCGACCCGGGTCCTCTCCCTTACCCCTCAGGTTTCAGGCGGTAAACATTTTCTGGTTCTCTGAGCTGTAGCCTCTGAGAACCTGGTGAGCCCAGCAGGCCCGGGGGACGGGGTTGGTGCGACAGGTCACTGAGGAGGCCTGAGGATGTGCGTGTCTGCCCTGATGACTCCCCTTGCTTCTGTAGGTGGGAGGCCACCCCGTGGACCGCGTGCTCCTCCTCGTGTGGGGGGGGCATCCAGAGCCGGGCAGTTTCCTGTGTGGAGGAGGACATCCAGGGGCGTGTCACTTCCGTGGAAGAGTGGAAATGCATGTACACCCCTAAGATGCCCATCGTGCAGCCCTGCAACATTTTTGACTGCCCTAAATGGCTGGCACAGGAGTGGTCTCCGGTAACTGTGCCCTCTTTCTTTGTTCATTAGGAGAGTAAGTCCACTCCTCCCTCTCGCCGTCATGGCCTACCGGGTACCCGGTGCAGCCCCGCCCTGCTTCGGCTTGTCTAGAAGCCTGCCAGCTTAGCTCCTGGAGTGGGAATATCCCCCTTCCAGCACGACTGAAAGTAAATGACTTTTAAAAATGCCTTTCTTTGTTCTACTTCAAAGGAGCCTCTGCTGCACCCCTTTATTGGATAGACACCTGCCTGTCTAGAATAGTCAAGGCTGAATGATTGAACCTTAATCTGTGAAAGCTACTTCGAAGACAGAACTCAGTAGACCAGAGTTTCATTTCATTTTTTTTATTATCGTCTATCTATATCCAGAAAAGGGTCTGAGTGGGTTAAAATTAGAGCTATGTATATTAGTTATTGAGGGTAAAAGGATAAAAATGAAAGCTGTAAAATAATATGGGGTGAAGTAGAATAATTAAAACCCAAAATAATAGGTATTAGGAAACCTGCTGTAACTAACGTTAAAATATTATCCTAGGTTTCCTGACTGCTAATGCAAAGAGAGAAATGGCACATAAGATATAAAGATATAGAAGTAAACCATCTCCTTATCCACAAAAATGCAAAGACTCCTCACTGAGCCTTGTAGCTTTGCAGATGCAGGTCAGAGCTATGGTGTCTTTCTTTAGGTACAAGAGGTACAGAGCTATTATAAGTGTTATGTATATCTGGCCACTGAATCCATTTCTATTAATGTTTTTTCAATTTCAGTATAATCCGTTCAATTGGCCATGCTGCAACATGATCTAGCTATGACGGCAATTTAAAATCTGTTATTATCCATGTGGGAACGAGCATTCCCCAAAGGTTTGGACATTGCAGTCATCAGCAAAGCAACTAACAACACCATGTGGGTAATTAAATTCAAGCACGCTTTAGTTGGTTTTTTCCCTTTTTTGGTGCTTGATTTGAGATTTTGCACAGTGGGTGCTTCAGGTCTGGTGACAGATTAATCCAAGCCTAGAATATTGAAGGTGATTTAATTTTCAGCTAGCTTCACCTCAAATAGCCAAAGAGCAAAAAGATGCCATGACTGGTAAGAAGTGGTGCAAACCCACCGGGAGCCGGCATGTAAAGAGGAGTCCGTGTGTAAAAAGCCTTAGGTGAGAGGTGAAGTGAAGAAGGCTTTGCCTGTGAGTCTCCGGTCTTGCACTCTCTTTCCAGTGCACAGTGACGTGTGGCCAGGGCCTCAGGTACCGCGTGGTCCTCTGCATGGACCACCGAGGAATGCACACAGGAGGCTGCAGCCCGAAAACAAAGCCCCACGTAAAAGAGGAATGCGTCATACCTACTCCGTGCTACAAACCCAGAGGTAACCAACAGGTGTTCTTCACCAGTCTGCTCGCTGTTGCGTGTGTTCGGGTGCTGTTTTAAACTCCTTGAGTGCCTTATCCCAGGTATGCTTCATAGTGACTCTTTGTAACTTACACTCTACTAAATGGACTTGATTCTCTCTTTAAATGTTTGAAATGGTTTTGATTGCAAATTTTTATTAAGTACTCCATCGGGAAATCTCTGTGTACAATTACCTCCCACATCATAAAGCGGTCTGAAGACCATGGCTGAAAAATGCCCTATGTGTCTTCTTAGAGACAGACGAGGTTGTACAGAAATCTTTGTGTAATTTGCTATCCACATTTCTTGCTGTTGAAAACAGGGGACCCATCTAGCTGTGTCTGCCTTGCTAAGCCTGAGATGCACTGTGAAGTCTCATACTTCTAACTGATGAAACAAAACCATTGCTTTTTGACTGAAAATTAAGACACAAATATGAGACTGAATTCCAGAAGCATAATTTGAAATGAAAATGTGAAGTATATCACAATTTAGTATATATTGGAAACCACTTATAAAAAAATTTAGAAAATTCTACTTAATGAGCAAGATCAGCTCAGATTAGCTTGAACAGTGACCTAAAAGGAAACCAAAATCTGAAAATATATCAGAAATCCTGATTACTTTTAATAAATACCTTTCTCTCCTCTTTCTCTCTCTCTCTCCTCTCTCTGCTTTCTTCCTCTCCTCCCTCTCCCTCCTCTCCTCTCTCCCTCTCTTCTCTCTCTTCTCTCTGTCCTCTCTCTCATTTCTCGCCTCTCTCTCTCTCTCACTGTCAGTTTTCTCATCTGTAAAATGAGGGAAAAATAGCATCCATCCTAGGATTATGTGAAGGTTAGAGGAGATTTAATGCAATTAAGGTAACCTAGTACTTGGTATACGGTAAGTTCTCTCCAAATATTACCTTTAACTCTTAACTACCATCAGTGTCCTCAAATATTAGAAGAGGTGACCACAGGCACATCTGACAATATTTGGTTCAGCAGTAAAGTGTGACAGGGCTGCTATGGGTGCCAAACTGAGCTCTGTCATTGCAAGACAGAGCACTCCCATGCTGGCAGAGATGGCTTCACGGACTGGGTCATTCAACTGGGGTAGATGGGGGAGTTGTAAAATGAGGTCTGTGCAGACACCACGTTGCTGTCTTTTGAATGATAGCAAAACTTTTGGCTTTGGCAGTTTTATACTTGCCACTCACTTTGTTTTCTGACTATAAACAATAACTACACACAGAGGGCAAATAGTGATGCTCCTAAATAAAAATAGGCAATTCGTTTTTAGATCTATCTTTACTGAGCCACTTCAGAGAAAGAAAAGTAGTTTGTGGCTCGCCATCAAGAACAAAATCTGGGTTTTCACAACTAAGTAGTAAGCCTCTCTAAACATCATTAAAATCCCATATAATTCTATGGCGTGTGCGTATATGGACATATTTCTTTCATCTTTGCAATTGTGTGTTATAAAACAGTGATAAAGCTCATTGGCTCACACTATAAAGGCAAATATGCCCGTAAATGACCCTCATAAATATGTCAGAATGGGGAGCTTGGCAGTTATTTCTGTATGAAAAATCAGAACTTCCCTACTTCTTTTTCTCCCCCACATGTTTTCCCTAGGAAGTAGTTAAAAAGCTTGTTCTGAGCAGTTTGGCCAAATATAGATAAATAGGCAAAAAAGTCAAATTATAGGTTTATAGACCCTAAGTTGCACATGATATTCTAATTGTCAGGGAGCCTTGGTGTGGTACTGAATAAGTGAGATATGCAAAGCAATTTTTTGTGAATCTCAGAGTGGCAGAGTTTGTTTTCAATTATGTGCTGTGGATCGCTCTTAGCCAAAAAGCAAAAAATATGTATGAAAGTATCAAAATATAATTTATTACATTTTGTGTCTATTTAAGGTGTCTGAAAGATCCTTTGATGATTCTTTATATGCATATTGTGCTAGTGCTCCTGGAGTTATGACTTTTGTAATAAAAGCACTTACCTTTGCTATTTAATATAAAGAGGAATCATATGTACAGAAACTAGTATTATTAAACATTTTTGAAACCTGATTCCACTTTTCTTGATAAATCCATCCCCCGAGGCAGCAATTACATAAAATTTATTAATTAGGGTTATCAACATAAAACTTCTGGGCTTAGTACAATTCTAAGTCTGTGAGGACAGCAGAAATGTCTCTAAAGTCCTAGAGTGGTACTCACCTCTTCTCCCATGTACTTAATCCTCAGAGAAACTCCCAGTGGAGGCCAAGCTGCCATGGTACAAGCAAGCTCAAGAGCTAGAAGAAGGAGCTGCTGTGTCAGAGGAGCCCTCGTAAGTTTTGGAAGCACAAATAGTTCTTTTGAAGTTCATAGTTTAAAAACAACAGTCTCACTGGCTCTGGTTTTCATGGGTTCCAAATAGGTGTAATCATCGTTATGGATTAAAAATGTTTATTAAAAGTTTAATTATCTTCAAAGGCAATTTCAAATCTTCTCAGATTCACCCTGTTTGAGTCTAAATGAATGAATTAGGAAAAGGCAGGTGGCATGCCTGCACCTTCTCCAAAATCGGACCCTCCTTTTTCTCCTGGCAAGAGGCCAAAGGTGAGAAGGCCCAGGCTGTGTCTGACAGTAGAAAATAGATTCAGTGTGAAAGTCTGGGCAACTTTTCATACTCCTTATGTCCCAGCTTTACATTATAGCCCCTCATAAAAAGTAATGTGTAAGTGGAATCTATATGAGTACAGAGGAACTTGGTAGCTTTTCCTCCCACCTTTCTTGCTGGAAATGGTAAGCCAGAAGACCAGGTCTTGGTTTCATTTACTCCTGGTCCCATACCTGTTCAATTTTCTCAGGGCATGAAGTTTGTAGGATCATTAGGCACATTTGCCATCTGCTTCAGAAAAGAAAACAAGGAAGACAGACAAAATCCTATTGATTGACTGATCAATATATGTTGGTTCTACTAGAAACCATGGGTAAGCATACCAGCTGCATTATTCTGCAGATAAGGAAATGTAGCTTAGGAGAAATTTTGCTTATGACCAAAGTAATTTTTTAGGTTGAAATTTTTCTAGACCAATTAATTTGCAAGATTCTGTATTAGTCCTGGGTGCCTACAGCACGTCACCCATCCTCTAGGAGTTCACAGTATTGCATGTAGGATATGAAAAGGTCCTCAGATTCAACCCACAGTTTAAATTTCTCTAGAGATAAAAATAAACACTGTAATCTATAAATTCAAATGCAGTTTAGAATTTTCTCAGATCCATCCTGAGTTCAAACTCCATGTGGTTTTCCACAACACAAAATTTAGAATCTTAATCAAAATAGCAAGAGATTCAGAAAGAAATCAAAGTACAGATTTGTACAATAACAAAAGGTCACTTGTAAATAAATTGTATTAAGACACTTGATTTCACAGAAAGATGGTACGTATATTAAAGGAAACATTTTTTACATAAAAGGACAACTAAGCAAAACATAAATTGTTTCTGTGCTATAAAGTTACCGCAGCAGGATTTTTGGCCTAACCATGGCAGAACATTGGAAGAAAGACAGTGGTTAAGAATCACAGTGCAACCTGTAAGTGGTTATATGGAGAAAAATATTCTCTCTCTCTCTCTCTCCCTCTGTCTCTCTGCCCCTCTGCCTCTGTGTGTCTTGCTGGCGCTGATTTGACCGGCCTTCTTATCACTAAAGAGGAAGTGAGCAGTTTATTTTAGAGGGGCACTAACTCCTTAATCCATTAAAGTCCTACTTAAAATACAGGAAGATGCCATGTGGTTGGAGCTACTTATTCCTTAGAAGTGTCCTTTGGTTAAACATGTTATAACCAAAGATTAATTATTTTACGTAAACTCTCTCGGGCACTGTATCTTGTCATCCAGTCTGAACCACACTCCTATCTATGTAACGCTGCATTCTGGCTAATGTTAAAGGATAGAACATCCAAAAGAAATAAACAAACAAAATTGAAACTGAAGAAAATATTTCATACTCATAATTATATTTCTTCCCTGCTGGTAAATACTTCTGAGCTGAAAACTTCTACTGAAGTATCACATTGACCATGGTCACCCATATTTTGTAATGTGTGCTTTTCCACTAAAGGTCTGATTAAGGTGCTTTTTGTTTAACTTTAATCTTAATAAGAGCTTTAAAGTAGTTAAACACACAGTTTTAGCCACTGAAACTGTAGCCATGTATTAGACTATTAACTGTGACTCAGTGTGATGGAATTGCCGTCTTGGATTAATCTGAATTGAAGTAGACAGTAATTGGAGTTCAACATAAAGGAAATGTATACAATTATGCTCAGAACAACAATTACTTTTATATCAAAATGAAATAAATGACAGCTGTAGGGTGAAAGGTTTATGGTTTCCACATTTTAATACATTTTATGTGTCTGATACACCAAACCCTAGGAAAAACCCTAAGTGTCACATTTTAAAAACTGATTTTGAATTTGAAAAACAAAATTTTGTATGGTCTTAATTCTTTCTTCTTAAAACCACATAGGCCAGTTTCTAAATGTGAGTAACAACCTGTAATTGCTCTCCAAAGCATAATGAAAGAATGGTGTACTGTCAGCAAGTCATTCTTTCTCCCCGCCGTAGAAACTCACGTTGCCTACATTGCATGTTCATGTTTAGAAGCTGCGCTGTCCCTGCTGGAGCACTGCCGCAAGGCGGGAACAGGGCTCCAGAACTATTATCTCTTGCTTTGGCTTCAGCTAACACTGGTGAGTTCTGTAGCAAAGCAGCAAATATCATTTATTTCCCCAGATGGAAAGTGAAAATATTATCAACAGCCTGTCTCATTAAATAACACAAGAAAATCACTATGCTTAAGTCTTTAGCATATGGAGATGCCCTGACTGAATGTTAGATATTTTTAGTAACCCTAAAATGTAAGAAAAAAGATTGGTTAGCACTCTGGCCAAAAAGATGTTGGAAAGCAACCTCGGTAAGTCATGTGTAGAAGAAAACTATGATAAAAGACTAAAGATGACCTGCCAAGAAGTAACTAAAACTTTGTAAAATAGAAAAATGTAATGGCATTATGGTTCCACTAAACTAAACACCATGTAGAATACATGAATACAGATATCAGTCTCCTAGAATCATTGAAATACATATGCAGATTGGACCACAGCGTGGTCATAGAAACGCACCATATAAAGCTGTGGCTTTGATTCAAAAATACCTCGAGATGTTCGTTGTCTTGTCCCCAGAGCAGAATAGCTTCTGTATGATGTACATGATGCATATGGTACGAAGGTAAGAATATTGTGATGAATGTATTTTCTTGGTATGTAAAAATAATTTTGTAACCCATCTGTGGGAGTCAAACCCTCTGAGCTGATTTTTCACTGATGGCTGTGGTTTGCCTTGATTCAAACATATGTTTATATGTGTTTTTCCTGACAAGAAGTGGCAAAAATCTTTAAGCAAGTTATTTTTCATCTTTCCCATTGAGCAAGACAATACAAGTTAGATCCAAACCCAAGCTGGGAGCAGGCAGAGAAGGCACTTTAGCCAATGAAGCTCATCAAACAGCCTTGTAAACAGGTGTAATACAGGAAACTTGCTTCCCAGATTGCCAACTGAAGAATCAATCAAAAATCCTTGCTAGCCAGTTAACACAGAAGGATTTGTGTTTAGATTTCTGCTGTTGTGATTCTGTTTCTGTTCAAAGTATGATTGTTTTAATTTGCCTCAAAATGACAAAAGAGGTGTTAAGACACATTATTTGAATGTGAGGTTAAGGCTATTTGTTGCCCCTGAAAAATATTTGGGAACGACTTTAACCCTCCCAAAGGGTTACTTTTACTTGGTGGTGTGTCAGAACTACAATGTGGTGCCACAGTTATAGTGTTAGGTACAATTTAAAATAAATTACTGACAGAGTTCCCATCTCTCTTGTTTCTACCTTCCTGCAGACTTGCTTGAAATGTAAGCACACACGTCACAACCATTTAGAGGCCAGTGCATATTACGGCCCTTTTATTGACTTAATTTCTTAAGGAGAAAATGATACAATGGTGACCACCAGGCCATATAAAGAAATCTTACTGAACAGAAAGCTATACAATAGGTCTTCCTCAAAAGCCTTACCTGATATGGAATAAGAAGTAAATTGTTCACTTCCATAACTCCCTCAGGTCACTAACAGACCACCTGAGCCCTGGGAGCATGTTTTCTAAGAGAACCAGGACCGAGAAAAAGAACTAGCCGGAACGATCCAGCTGCCCTTCCTTTCTCTTCCCAACTTCCTGCTGTGCAAACCACGACGTACAAGATAGAGAAATGAGGGCTGACTGGGAGCTCGGCAAAGCCAGTTCTTACCCGGGTTCTCTTCCGCTGCTAGTAGTTCTCCTGAGGCTGGAATAATTTAGTGGGTATATCGGGTGCTTGGGAGACTGTGTGCTCAGCACAGCCTTGTGACTAGCCATCTCTCCCCACCTAGCTGGCGTTCAGCAGGTGTGAAGCCTGAACGATGCTGTCTTCTGAAAAGTAAGACTGGGTGCCCCTTGTACCTTGATCTTACATTTGAAAAAAGCTTTGGTTTTCTTAGCAGATGCTCAGCCAGCAGCTCTACCTGGTTAGGATACCATTTGGAGGCTCTAGTGTAATATCCAGGCCTTAAATGTATTTCCATAAATAATCTTAGTGTGAACCATGGGGAAGAAAGAGGAGAAAGAAGATAAAGGCAAGTAGACAGAAGGCGGCAGTGATCCCTGAGTGCCAGATGGCGTCAGGTCAGCCGTGGTGACATCTCAGGATGTGAAAGGACATTTCTGTCATGTGCCCATGTGAACAGAGCACACAAGAAGTTAGACACAGAGAGAAAGCCTGATGGTTACCATGGTGATCCTCTGTTCACTAATGCCCCACTTACCTCGATGAAAATAGGATTTAAATATACAATACTTAAGCATATGTTTATATTAGTTCATATCCTTACCCTGTAAATTATCTAAGAATGTGAATTCATACTTTACAAAAAAAGTGGCCAGAAATCTTAACTACATGGTATACATCTTCATATTTCCCCCAAATAATTGTAGTGAGCCAATATTAGGAATGGATCCCGATAGTGCTATTTATAGTCTCAGTATAAGGACCTAAATTATGTCTTCTTGATAAGTCTCAGGCCATAGGAAATAACAAGGAAAGCCTTGTATGTGTAGAAACAGATCTCTTTCTTAAGAATCGACAGTCATCTCATCTGAGCGAAATTTAACCAACAAAAAAGGGTGTTCATCCCGCACAGGGTTGAACATTAGAACTATGGGATTTTTCAAAAACACTAAAGCATTTAATT